CTATGTTTGTTCGTACTTCTGCTTGTTTTCTTTTCACTTTTCGGTCTTCACTTGGGAAAGCATTCTGTCATATCTGAGAGTATTTCCATTTTTCTGAAAGACTTTTATTATCGGGTTTATTTTTGAAATAATCTACATCATGTAACTTTGGGCATTAAGTGGAATTCGGACAAAAAAAGAGAAGTAGACCTATAGGTGCAATGATAATATTTATGCATTGGATGACACCATTTTCCACAGGTGAATGGCCAGAATGTTGAAAATCTGTCACGAGAAGAGGTTGTGGAGGTCATCAAGAAATCGTTGGACACGTTGACCCTCAAGGTGCAACCAATCCCAGAACTGATTGAGCTGAGCGTGCGGCCAAATCGCGACGGCACGGCGGTGGACATACAGGAGGACACGGCCAAGAGTGGGACCCTGCGACGTAGTGGCAGCCTCCGCTATCAGAAAGGGGTGAGTCTTGACCTTTGACTCTGATTGTTTTTGTGTTGTTGTGGTTTTTGTTGATGGGAAAAACTTTCATTCTTGTTGCTTGTTATTGTTGCTGTTGTTGGTGATATTACTGTTACTTTTCTTTCCTGTTTTGTTATATTTATTTAACCTTTGCTTATTGCTTTTTTTTTTCCCCAACATATATATTGTCCTTATCTTTCCTCTTTCTTTTTTGTATTTGTTACTCTCTTGTAACACCTAAAATCTTAGGCACTTATGACATAATTGTGTTGTAAGTGCCATAAAATGCTTACTAAAACTTTTAAAAACCTAAATCTTTTTGCCCTTGTAGTTTGTGGGCTCTCTGATTATGATCTTCCACTTTTCAGAGTTACTTTTGTTATGATCTGTTCCGAGAGAAATTTCACTACTATTGCTCTGGCTCACTGTGATTTGATACTCATCTTGATTATTGCCCGTAGCCTTCAATCTTGCTGGTTTATGTTGCTGTTTTGTTTGTGTACCAGCATTAAGTATTTAGATTATTGTGCATGGTTGGTTGGCGGGTGTTCTGGTGTGGTTTGTTCCTTCTTTCCTATAAAAAATTTATCGTCTCTATCTCCCCTCCTTTTTTGTGTTTGTTACTCTCTTGTAACACCTCTCATCTTCGGCATTTATATGACCTTATTGTGTTGCAAGTGCAGTAAAACTTTTACTAAAACTAATACTAAAGATTAATGTGCAAATGTTTTACACTGAAATGTGCAGACAATGTGCTGCAGATTTCTGTTAGTGGATTGATTCTGTATCAATACATGTATCTCATTCTGACTCAATAATAACGTTGTCCTGACTGGGTCTTCTCGGGAAACTGGACTCTACTGGGTTAAAACATCTTCTTTATTCCCAAGCCCCATGTGATAATACTTACTTAGTTTATGCATATTCAGGCTGTGTATGGGTTGTAGGATGGTACACTGGTACACCGAAGTGGCGGGTAGTTGGAGGGCCCCACAGGTTGGTCCTACTTCTTTTCTTTCCTTCTGGTGTCTCTTTCTATCTGTCTTGCTTCTTCACTGCACTAAATGACCATTATTGTGTCGACGTGGAGGGTCTGTTGCTGTGCTGTACAAAGGGGACGAGAATCTCATTTTGGGACCGACATTTGTCGTTATCTTTCTTGTGCTGTCTTCATTTATTTTGGGCGTCGAAATTGGTGGTTTTTGTTCTCTCTTAAAGGCCGGACAGTGGTGTCTTACTGTTCTTTGTATGTGCCTGTTATCTCTGTAGGCTATATCTTTCTTTTGCTTTGTGGACATGTTTGTCTGGTGTCTTGTCTCATTCAATTTGTGTATGGCTGGATGGTCACTATGGTGGGCTCAGTTCTTCCTATCTCTGGTTTTGTTTTTTGTTTTGTTTTTTGTATTGGTTTTTTGTTTTCGTTTTATTTTGTTTTGGTTTTTGTTGCTGTTTTTTTTTGTTGTCTTTTTTGTTCCAGATCTAATCTGCTTACTATCAAAACGTGGCCGGCTTTATGCTGACTTGTCCTGTCCTTTCTTCTCTCCATGATATTGCTGTTATAGTGATGCTTGACCGTCACTGGTGACTGTTGCCTCAATAAAATGTGCTCCTTATCCTAGTCTTTAACAATAGGAGGGAAAACTTGATTGTATTCGTGACTTGCCTCATGTTTTACCCGTATTGACCCTTTTTATGCTTGCATGAACAAGTTGTTGTTGAATCAGTTGGTCTTACAATACGTCGCCTCAAATTTTGTCCAAAGTGTACTTCAGTAAAGAGGCACCTGATCTCTCCTCCGTCTGTTTTTATATTTGTTACTCTCTTGTAAGACATCTAATATTCTGCTTTTATATGATCTTATAGTATTGCAAATGCCGTAAAACTCTTACTAAAACCAAAAAAAGCACTTTGGGCAAAATATTTTTGAGGCGACGACTAATCGGTAATTTTACTGGCTAGTTTGAGCCAACGAAAGGGCATTTTTAACGTGTATTCTTTGAGTCATTATTTTTTTTTTTATTAGGCTTATCATTTGCAAAATTGAATTTGCTTCTCCCCGCCCCTCCAGTCATTTGAGTCTGTGGGAAGATGATGGACAATAAAATTGGAAGTGCCATCTTTTGTGTGACTGTGTTTAAAGAGGTGTTAAGACATTATAATGTCAGGCCGTACCACACTGTACCGCCTATGAGTGGGCTCTCTTTGAGTCTTTTGTCGCTCTCAAGTCACAACGGTTTAGGTCACAGGTGACAGTGAGGGCAAAGGTGGGATGGGGATGGGCTGAGGTGGAGGGAGGGGGTTGCGGTAGACGAAACGTGACCCGAAATATAACAATCGGAAGAGGTGTGTGTGTTGTGTGTGTGTGTGTGTGTGTGTGTGTGTGTGTGTGTCTTTTATTCACTAACTACACGTCAGAGATTCTTCGCAGTCGGCGACCCTTGAACTTTTCATTCAGAGTTTGGGCTGATTTGACGCCAGTTTGGCGCTCGGAAATACATATTGTGTGATATCAACACCCACGCAGAGATAAGCATGGATGTACACACCCGGGCACTCGCATATTCTTGGCATTTCAGTGGGAAGGGGGGGGGGGGTTTATTTTTTGTTGCTCTTGTAGTTTGTTGCTCCTGTCTACTTTCAGTTAGATCTAGGGCCTATTGTCGTTTGTTTTTGTTTGTTTTGTTTTTGTAAGTGTTTTACGGCGCTCGCAACTGCATAAGGTCATATGAGCGCGCGGGACACACTAAACTTTTTCAGTTGGTAAGAAATTTTGAATTTTGCCCAGGTGGCGGCCGAAGCCTACTCTTATCGATTTATTGTTGTTTGGTTTCCTTATCTGTTGCTGGTGGGACATAACCGTTGTCATGCTGACTCGTCTCAATTTGTTCCTCAGCGTTCATACATGCACGGCTGCACGAGTACACACGAGCGCACATACGAACACACACATAGACACACACACACACACACACACGCACACTCACACACTCACTCTCACATTCACACATACACTAACTCACACACATATGTA